GAAGTTCGACAAGAGGAACTAGCAGATATACCAAGTACAAGCAGACCTCAAAGAACAAGACGCATGCCTGCAAGATTGCAAGATTGTGTAATTACATCAGATGATGTAATAGATAATGAAGGTGAGCTGGTACATTATGTTTTCTATGCAGATGTCGAACCTGTTAATGCAGCTGAAGCATTGAAGGATTCGAAGTGGGTGAAAGCAACAAACGAAGAAGTGAAGTCTATCAAAGACAACAACACTTGGGTATACAAAGTGAAAACGAATTCGAAAGGTGAAGTAACTCGACACAAAGCAAGGCTTGTGGTGAAAGGATTTATACAGAAAGAAGGAATAGACTTCGATGAAGTTTTTGCACCTGTTGGTAGGATTGAAACAATCAGGTTGGTTGTTGGTCTAGCAGAAATAAATAGTTGGCACATATGTCAGATGGACGTGAAGTGTGCATTCCTAAATGGACCCTTAGAAGAAGAAGTTTATGTTAAGCAACCAGTTGGGTTTGTGACACATGACGAAGAAAGAAAGGTATACGGGCTGCATAAAGCCCTGTATGGATTGAAACAAGCTCCAAGGGCTTGGAATAAGAAAATTGATAGTTTCCTAAGGGAGAAGGAATTTGTAAAATGTACAACTGAACATGGAATATATGTAAGAAGAAGCAAGAGTGAATTTCTTATACTATGTCTCTATGTAGATGATTTATTGATAACAGGTAGCTGTAAAAGTGAGATTGAAGAATTCAAAGGTGATCTCAGCAAGGAATTCGAAATGTCTGATTTGGGTGAGATTTCATATTTCCTTGGTATCAAATTATACAAGAGCAGTAGAGGTTTGATGATGCATCAAAGAAGATATGCAGGAGAAATTCTCAAGAGGTTTGAGATGGAAGAATGCAACTCAACTTCGACACCTACAGAACCAAGACTGCAACTGTCAAAAGATGTAGATGAAGATAATGTTGATCCAACCTAATACAGAAGACTTATTGGATCATTGAGATACCTTTGTCATGCAAGGCCTGACTTAGCATATAGTGTAAGTATGGTAAGTATATTCATGCAGAAGCCAAAGGTATCACATCTAGCAACAATGAAGAGGATATTAAGGTATCTCAAAGGAACTTTCGATTATGGCATTTTGTTTCCTGCAACTGATAAAGGAAAATAATGCAAGTTAGTTGGATACACAGATTTAAGTTGGTGTAGTGATGCTGAAGATCGAAAGTCAACAGCAGGATATGTGTTTATGCTAGGTGGTGCACCAGTTGCTTGGAATTCAAGAAAGTAATCAGTAGTGGCATTATCATCATGCGAAGCAAAATACATAGTTGTTTCTCTTTGTGAATGTCAAGCAACTTGGATGGTGAACTTGGTCGAAGAGATAACAGGGAAAGATCATGGAGAAATTACCATTAAGATCGACAACATGTCAGCTATTAATCTGACAAAGAACCCAATAGCACATGGTCGAAGTAAGCACATCAAAATGAGGTTCCATTATCTTCGAGAGCATGTAGCAGGTGGGAAGATGAATTTGGAACACTACAGAACTGAGAATCAGATTGTAGACATCATGACGAAGGGAGTGCAAGTCAAAGTATTCAGAAAGCTAAGAGCCATGATGAATATAGATAGTTTAGACACAATGAATTAGGTGGCGTGTTAAATTGTAATTCAGTGTGTAGAAACTATTTGTCGAAAAGATTTGATTTGTTTTATATTTAAATAGATTTGATTTAAGTGTAGAATATATTATATTTGATTTAGTAACAAAATAGATATTTTGGATTTTGGGTTTAGGGTGTAAGCTCAGTTATAAATAGAGGGAGTAACCCCTATTTTTTGTAAGCAAGTCAAGTAAGTCATTCACAGTATTTTGCAGTTGCAAGGTGAATAAAAAAGTTTTCACAGTTTGTAAGCAGAGAGAAACTCTGCAGAAATTATTTGTCTTGTCTTCTTTCTTTGTTTGTCTTATAATTAAATTGTCATTGTGATAGAAATTCATCATAGACTTTGGTGGATTTCCAACATAGTTTAGGTCGTTGTTGGCTTCCGGTGGCTGATTTAGTTTTCCAAAGCTTGCATTTTCTTCTGGTGTTGCTTTTCTGCTTGGGCAGCATCTCCCTTTTCTTCAAGTCGAGGAGGCTGGGTTCATTATTTTAGTTTGTTGGTTATAGATTTGTAGGCTACGGTTGTAGTGGAAATAATCGCAAAGCTGCTGTATTGAAATCAGCTCCCTGGATCCGTCTTGCTTTGTACCAGATTATTTATGTTGAGTTTTGCAGTTTTAGGGATGCTGCAGGTGTGTTGAGGGAAGGAAAGTATTGCAAGAAAGAAAATGTTACTGTTTTTGTTGTTTTATTACATAGATCAGGTATGCTTATATACACATAAAGATATGAAATCATGATCCTATAATCATGCTAGTAATAATTACAATAATTGCTATAAAAATGCAGAATGATATGCAGTAAATGTATTGATATATGATTGTTATAATCAAGGATCACCATATCATAGAAATTAAGTTATGATCCTTAATAATCAATTATGAGATTCTGACTTTTCTCTAACTCCCCTCCTCAAACTGGTGGTGACACAATCACTCCAAGTTTGTCTCTCAACATGTTGAATCTTGTGTGTGTGAGAGGATTGGTCAAGCAATCAGCAATCTGGTCAGCAGTAGGAACATAAGCCACAATGACTTCATTTTGTAAGACTCGATTACCTATGTAATGGACATATATCTCGATGTGTTTAGAACGAGCGTGCATAACTGGATTGGATGCAAGTGACTTAGCACTTAAGTTATCACACCATAGGAATGGCTTTCTGGGTATTGGTAACTTTAGTTCTTCCAGTAGTGATCTAACCCATGCTACTTCAGCTGCAAGATCAGCCAAAGCCCTGTATTCTGATTCCGTGCTCGACTGTGACACTACCTTTTATTTTCTTGAGGACCAAGAAATTAGTGTTTCACCAAGAAATACACATTGTCCTGCCATGGATTTTCTATCATCAGTACTAGTTTCCCAATCTGCATCAGAAAACCCTATTATGTCAAGGTCATTAGAAGTTTTTATGTGCAAACATAGATCTATTGTGCCTTGAAGATATCTCAATATTCTTTTTATCCCTTTCCAGTGATCCATGGTAGGTGAACTCATGTACTGACTCAATTTGTTGACAGCAAATGCAATGTCAGGTCTTGTGTTAGTCAGGTATTGCAGTGCACCTATTGCTTGTCTGTACAAAGTAGGATTAGACAATGGTTCCCCCTCAACAGTGAATTGTCTACCGGCTACCATTGGTGTTGGACAAGTTGATGTTTTCTCCATGTTAAACTTCCTAAGCATATCCCTTATGTACTTTGTTTTTTTTAGATACATTCCATTATCATTTATGTGAACTTCAATACCCAAAAAATAATGTATGTGCCCTAGATCTTTCAGCGAGAAGGCAACATTAAGTTGATTGATGAATGTCTCTAAGAACTTGTTATTTCTTCCTGTTATTATTATGTCATCAACATAAATAAGTATAAATTTGATATGGTTTATACCTCTAAGAGTGAAAAGGTATGAGTCACTTTAGGTGTTTTGAAACCCCCATTTTAGTAAAGTGATTCTTAGGTTGTCAAACCATGCTCTTGGAGTCTGCTTTAGTCCATAGATGGCTTTGGAAAATTTGCATATGTGATTAGGTTTGGTTGAGTCTATGTATCCCTCAGGTTGATACATAAACACAGTTTCCTTGAGACTTCCATTTAAGAATGCATTATTTATGTCCAATAGCCTAACTTCCCAATTGAGATGTACATCAATAGTCAAGATGATTCTTACCGAGCTGGATTTGACCGCAGGGCTGAATGTTTCATCAAAGTCTAGGCCTGCTGTTTGCTGAAACCCTTTTGCAACTAATCTTGCTTTCCTCCTTTCAATTTAGCCATCCGCTTTGTACTTAGTCTTGAAGATCCATTTTGAGTCTATGATGTTTTCTTGACCCTGAGATGGAACTAATGTCCAAGTCTGATTGGACATTAGGGCCTTGAATTCTGCATCTATAGCTGCTCTCCATTTTGGTTTGATTAGTGCCTCTTTGACATTTTTTGGTTCTTTATCATCTCCATGTTCCTCTGCCAGTCCTATGTAGGACTGCTTAGGCTTGTAAATCCAAGCTTTGCTTCCACTACAAGAAAAATGATAGATTGGGACGGTTATTTTGGCTGATTACGACGGTTAAAACCGTCGCAATTTACAATCTACGACGGTAGAAGTACCGTCGCAGAATCGTGCGTCCCCAGCCTATTTCGCGACGGTTGCAAAAACTGTCACGCACAACAGATAGCGACGGTTATATACCGTCGTGAATTTGACTTTATTTTTTGTTTTTGTTGTTGTTTGCGACGGTTATTCTACCGTCGTAGGTTAGAAATTGCGACGGTTTTAACCGTCGTAATCTGATTTATAAATTTCAAATAATATTTTTATTTAAATTATTATTTAGTAAAATAATTTTAAATATAATATTATTTTACTATAATATTTTACTATTATATTTAAATTATTATTTACTTTAATATTTTTTTATTTATAGTATTTTATTTTATTTTCTATCACTTTTCAACATAATAAAGTTAATTACAATAAAAACATTTAATATCAAATAATCATCAATAATATCAAAAAAATGTGATCAAAGGTAAAAAGAAGTGCAAATTTTACCAATAAACAAGAAAAATTCAAATATCATCAAAGGCCAAATTTCATTTTAATATTTACATTGGTTTGCTACAACTTGAGAGAATTACAAAAAATGTTACAATATTCTACAAAATTCATGAAAGAAACCTCATAAACCCTAAAAAAATTAAATAGGAATAGGACAAGTATATATCTCAGAGATCATAAACATACAAGATACAAACTTTTCAACAATTACAACTAAAATCAAAATCATTTTTCCTTCAAAAACTAATCAAAACTGGTCTTTGTTCTTTTATAGCAATTTCGCGTGCAGTATGAACTGCACTATAAACGGCAAGAGCATCATTTCCAACATGTTACCCATGCGTATACTAGTTTCTGGAGAACGATACAGAAAACGACCACATGTTTCAAGAAGGTTGCAAGCTACATCAATGTTGTGATGACTAAAATCATCTAAACAGGCCTGAAATTATTAAAAAAAACATAAAGTGAGGATTCAATATTTTACAATTATTTGATATATTCTTCATACACAACTATTTGATCTAAGAACTAGTAAAATGGAGGATAACAGCCTATTCCACATGAGTATAACTTATAGGACTTCTGTGACCAAAATAGAATAGAACTTAAAAAGCTAGACAAAAAATGTGTAGTGGATGAACTGAAATCTATTGACATTATAAGGACAGCTCCAAAACAGAGTTTGCAAATTTAGCAAAACTGTTACTGACTTTTGTAATTAAAAGGAGTTAGCTGTAGTTTGATTATTAGTCTCTTATACCTTCAAACAACTGAAGACCAGGCCAGCAGGGGCAACTTTGAACTTGCAAAGTTCTCCAACGAACCTGATATTCCTGATCTTTGTCTCAATATTCATCTGGTCCTGTTAAGACATTCCAAAAACAAGGTGACAAAAGTAATTACCTAATTTAAAGTGATGGAAAAAAAATGATCCAATTCTAAAGATTTATGTAAAGTTAACCTTTTTATTTATTAAGAAGTTGAACTCCTCCTCCAACATCTGCAATAGAAGAGAGGAGACATCCTTCATACAAGTTGAGAGTGTAGCAACCATGCGTGAGTAATACGCTAGCAGCTCTAGAGAAGTCCTTGGAACACTGAACAAAGCCCTCACAAGCTTTTTCCGATTTGATTTTGAATTTAGATAACAGAACTCTACCTAGCATTTGTTTAGCCAGAGGGAAATAATCATTAATAGTGATGTAAAAAATAACAATACAATCTAAGAATATAAGTAATAGAGCTCAATAAGATATCCTCACTGTTAATTGATCTATAAGGTCCCGGCTCACACAACCCGGAAGCCTCTGCAATAGAGCATCCAAATTTGTTCCTTCAACACTTCTGAGTTTCTCTTTGTCATTTTCCCCTTTTTTTTCATTCTCTTTTTCTTTTTCCTTGTCTATGTCCAAATCTTTAGACTTTTCTTTTTCTTCTTTATCATCCACTCTCTCAGTGCTTTCTCCCTCTGGTAAAACATTAGACTCTGTGGAGCCCTCTCCACTTTCAAAGGTGATCAGTTGGCTTTTGTCTGATTCAGGTAATATTTCCTAGATAATATCAATCTTGGAGTCAGAGATAGTTGCAGAAGGTAGGTAAGAAAAGGAAAAAGAACCCAAGAAGATGGTTCTCTGTCAGAAAAAGCTTCATATTATTCTTTAACGAAGAATCATGCAATGGCAGCTTAAGTTGCTAAAATTTAGAAAAAGTTCTTAAGGAATGAGAAGTACATGTTCGAAAACAAAGAAGTACAGGAAGAAACATGAAACAACACATAATTTATCAACATTTTATGAATGACGGAATTCATATTGTTGAATATATATATATGAAGAATCAATCTATTTTTGCTTAAGATCAACTTTCCTCGAAGGTTAAGCATCTTGGTAGAGGTCCAATAGATAATATTAGTATCAAATCTTTAGATTGTATAGGAAAACAGCTAAAGACTAACGTAATGGAAATTAAAACTAAACCGGGTCACACTAATAACGAAAACAGTACACTACTGAGTTTCAAAGACCTAAATTCTAAGAGTTGGATACGCATAAGTTTTTACCTTCATCAAATAGGGGGAGAAATTAAAATGCATGAAAAGACAATAAAAAGAAGATCCTAAAATAGGTTTTAAAAAATTGCCAATGTGATTTCTTACAGTTGGTTGGTCTTGACTCTTCACAGATTGCTCATTGACTTTTGGCTCTGTTTCTCCCAAAAGCACAGCAGGAACAAAAGCTCTGGAGAAAAGCCAACCAGGATAAAGTTTCATCAAAAATAAAACAGGGGAAAACAAACTAAAGAAATTTTTAAGTCATTGACGTTTACATCAAAGTTTTAAACATGTAAGAACACAGTGGTGACCAAGGACTAAAATATGGATTTATATATGGAGGGCCCATTAGCAATTTGATAAATAAAGAGGTTCTTGGAAATACATACCTAAGATCTGGAAAACATTCATAAAAAGCCCTTGTGTCTTCATCATCCCATATGGGTTCAACAGAAGAATCTTTCCCAGAAGCAGAAGAAACCGTCTCTTCGCCACTAGTAAGCCGTGTTGTGTGGCCATCCTCTGGCATTACAGGAGGCTGCATATCAAGTGCTTCAGCTAATCTGTAACAAGACAATCATAACTACAGGATAGACTAATTAAAAGGAATAATTAGAGACACCTCAGCAATATTGTACTGAAGGATGATTCCACTTATAGTCTATATTAGACGGAAGAAATAGGCAGGAGGAATGAGAAGTCAAAATATTTAACAGCAAGTAAAGCAAGACTATTTTACAGATACATTACAAATTATCCCTTTTGTCAAGTTTGGGGGGAACCTCGATTAGAGATATGAAGGCCACCTCAGGGCTAAGTCACTTCTTTATGTCCTTCACCATCTCATATTCATCTCTACCTTATTCATCACGTTCACCACTTAATCATTGCATTAAAGTGGCCATGTACTTCAAGGTCACTTTAAAGCTAGGTGACTTGTTTACTTCAAGTCCTTGACTCATGTTTCGAATCAACTTTAAGAGTTCGTGTTCATGTATTGGTTTTAAGCATCAAGCATAAGGGACTCAAGTTTGATTGTGGTTCATTCAATATGACATAATTCATCATTGAAATCATTCAAGTTCCAAGTTAATTCCATCAAAATAAAGTTCATTCATGTTCATTACAAGTTGTTCACAAGCATTACAAAACCATTATCATCACAAGTCCTTTACATCATACAAAACTTTCACTCTCTCACTTGGCTCACGATTCATTCAATCAGAAAATCACACAAAAAACTCAGAAGGAGATTCACAGAAAGAAAGAAAAACTCACCTTCTGGTTATCTCAAAACAGCATCATCACCTTCCGTTTTTCAATCGTCCTCAATGCATCTTCACTGAATCAATAACTTCATTCGTTCATCATCTTCATCAATGCAACTGATTCTGCAACTTCAACCGAAACACATCACCATGGTAAAATCGAAAGAAAATTGAAAAGAAGTAGAAGAAGATTGAATCAATAATTTATATACCTTGATATTCGGATGATACAAAGATCGCGCAGAAGATGAAGAAGATTGAGTCGAATCGAAGAATGGAAGCTTCACCATTCTAGGCGCAACATCGTACTTCCGGCGGTGGTTCTTTGCTTCAATCGGATAAAAAGCTCTTTCACAAAACCTAATCCTCTTTCAATTTTGTTTGTTACTCCTATTTTGTTTTTTTATATTTTTATTTGTTGTATTTTGTTTATAATTTAATAATAAATATTAGTTGCTGAAAATATTATGATATTGTGTTGATATTATGATATTGTGTTGCTGAAAAAAAGTGGGAAAGTAAAAGAATAAAAAAAAGTAGTCTAACCGTCGTGACAACTGTCGCAATTCAGGAATAATGCTTGAAAATCTACGACGGTTGAGCCTAACCGTCGTGACAACTGTCGCAATTCAGGAATAAGGACGGTTTTGTGGGAACTGTCGCAATTTATGTGTCGTAAATCTCTTTTTTTCTTGTAGTGTTCTGGTGCGCATATAATGAGTGTTGGTGTCGTCTAGGTGAGTTTGTTGGTTAATCTCCAGTGCAGTTTGATTACTGCTCTCCATTGTTTCTGCTAAGGTTGAATCATCTGCTTCACTTTATCTTGATATGTTGCTATCTGCATTGACAAAGGACTCGCTGAGATCTGGTTGACTTTCACCTGTCTCACTGTCAACTAGATTGTCAGTTGAATTTTCTTCATGCTGGTTTTCTACAAAATTGTCGGGTTCAGCCGTGTTGTTTGTAGTGGTACCTGCAGGACAATTAGGAAACATAATAGATGTATTTTCAGTCAGTCTCTTTAATGGATTTCTTGTGTCAATGAAACCATCATGGAAGGGAAAGTGATTCTCATTGAAGATCACATGTCTTGAGACAAAAATTCTCCCATGCGAGTTGATGCACTTGTATCCTTTGTGTGAGTTGCTGTAACCGATAAATACACACCTAGTTGTATGCAATTGAAGCTTGTGTTGGTTGAATGGTTTAAGGCAAGGGTAGCAGGCACAACCAAATGGTTTGAAGTCCTCATAATCAGGTTCTTTCTTGAAAATTAAAGAGTATGGACTGTTATTTGGATTTATTGATGATGGCAATCTATTGACTAGGTAGACAGCAGTGGAGAAGGCTTCCCACCAGTAATGTAGGGGCACTTTGGCATGTGCTAGAAGTGTTAGTCCTAGTTCAGCAATATGTCTATGCTGTCTTTCAGCCCTGTCATTTTGTTGAGAAGTGTAGGGACAAGACATTCTGCATAGAATTCCTGATTCTGTGGCAATTTTTTGAACTGGTTTGTATTCACCACCTCTATCACATTGAATTATTTTTATTTTCTTATTAAATTGATTTTCAACCATAACTTTGAACTGGTTGAAGGCATAAATTGTTTCTGATTTTTGTTTCAAGGGAAAAATCCATTTGAATCTACTAAAATCATCAATAAAGTGAACATAATATTTAAACCCAGATGAGGACATAATTGGAGCAGGACCCCATACATCGGTATGAATTAATCTAAAATTTCACTAGCATGAGAAGAAGAAGATTTGAAAGGTAACAAGTGTGATTTTCCAAATTGACAAGCTTCACAAAATGTAAAATTGTCACTAGATGGTATCTTCACATTGTAGTCTTTCAACACCTTTTCCAAGACTTTATTATTTGGATGTCCAAGCTTTCTATGCCAGTTTTCCTTAACAGACATGTAGACGTATGAGTATTTATTGATTTGGGGACTGACATCAGAAAGTTGGTATAGTCCATTTTTATGTTTCCCCTTTAAAAGTGTCTTCCCTGTTAGCTTGTCCTTCACAAAACAATAATTTGCATTTGTGATCGGTGGGAATGAGAACTGACTGTTTTGGAATGTTGGTTCGCGTTTGCGTTAGTTTTCGCAAAATGTCGCTGTGATCGGTGGATCTGGAACTGACTGTTTAACGCTGGTTCGCGAAATGTCGCGGAAGCAAGAGTCGCCACCGTCTTTTATTTTCTCCAAATGGAAAGGACAAAAGCACAGAAAAATTCCTTATAGAGATTGCTCTCAGTTCGGGAGGTAGATTATAGAAAGGGAAGGTGTTAGCACCCTTTCTATCCATGGTTATCCATGGGCTCTTAGATACTTGCTCACTTGTGTTTTCAAAAATGGTTTGTTTGCTTTTCAACTGTGGGTTTTAAAAAGTTTCTTTGAAAATTCCAGTTCGACTCTTGTATCGGTCCTCAAGAGTGTTTGAAAAATTGCTTTCGAAAGCTTTTTGAAAAGGTGTCGGTGTGAAAAGTATTTTTTGAATTTGTTTTGAATTTAGAGCAAGTATCTAGAGTCGTCTACCTACCCTAAGGAATTCGTCTGTGTAAATGTCCTTTAAAGTAGTGCCATCCCACCATTGAGAGGTAGGTAGCACCACCGTTGGAGGTGTTCGGGTCAATTCGATGTTCGGGACATGGTGATCACCAAAGCAATGGGAAGACACCTTAGAAGCTACCCTCATGCCAGGTTCCCGGATCATGAGGACTTACTAAGACATCCTCTACTCGACGATCACCTTTCGAGGCAAGGCAACAGTGAGGCGTACCCTAGGGGTGGTGTGTGATTTGTGTGTCATGTTCATTTATTTTTGTCTTGTCATGTTATGGGTGATCTACGCTTTTGTTTTTATTTAGACATTCATTCTTTCATGCAATTATAATTTAAAAGTGCGGAAATTTAAATGCGGAAAGATAAATCCATATTTTTGAAGACCTTCTGATCGAAATTGGCTTCCAGCCGTGAGAGATGAAAACGTAGATAATGTCAAGACGGAATTTTGGCCACCGGAACGGGTTCAAAACGAGTCACGATCTTTAAGTTATGAATTTTTTAGCGCGTAAAAACTGCACTTTCAGCACACTTTTTCACTATATCTCTTCAAGAAAACTCACACATTCGGATACCTTCTTTAAAGAATTGACTCTTGAGCCGAACCTGAATTTGAGAATACGTTATCAAAGATATCTTGGCGAAAGAATACCTGAATATGACGCGCCAGGTTGGACTTGTGAATTTTTCTTGAAATGTTTTTTGAGAAATATGGGAGGGCAAATTTTGGGGTACAACAGTTGCCCCTGTTCAATCTTCTTAGACCTGAGGATGCAGATTGGCTGACGTGCCTTTCATAATCCGAGGGTGGAAGATGATTGAACACTAGAGTGCCCAAAAATTTGCGCTCACATAGTAGCAATGATGGTGGAAATGGGCTTACAGATGCCATTTAAAGGTTGATGAATAGGATGATGGGCTTATAGATGCCATCTGGATGTTGATCGCGTAAGAGATTCCTTAGCGAGAACCTGCATACCTGCGAAAGAAAAATGAGTACCTGACATGTTGCAGGAGCTGTTTTCAGATGCTTGATATAGATGCGTCCTGACTGGTTACAGGAGCTGGATCTGGAGCTTCAAAAGATGATGAATGAACCAGGGATGGTTACTACCTCAGCAGGGACGGTGAGAGAACCTTGGGTGACTTTAACTTCAACAACGCTTGTTGAGGAAAACTTGGTGGGAATTACCATCTTCGCAGTATCGGGAAGAGAACCAATAGGCAATTAAAATCTCAAAAGCGAACATTTGAGAAAAACCTGGAATGGAATTAACATCTCACGCACCGTCGGGGAGAGAACCATAGGAAATTGTAATCTGAAAGGGAATTGTCACCTCGCTCACCGTCGGAGAGGGAACCATAGGAAATTATAATCTGAAAAGGAATTATTACCTCACTCACCGTCGGAGAGGGAACCATAGGAAAAGGAATTATCACCTCACTCACCGTCGGAGAGGGAACCATCTGAAAAGGAATTATCACCTCACTCACCGTCGGAGAGGGAACCATCTGAAAAGGAATTATCACCTCACTCACCGTCGGAGAGGGAACCATCTGAAAAGGAATTATCACCTCACTCACCGTCGGAGAGGGAACCATCTGAAAAGGAATTATCACCTCACTCACCGTCGGAGAGGGAACCATCTGAAAAGGAATTATCACCTCACTCACCGTCGGAGAGGGGACCATCTGAAAAGGAATTATCACCTCACTCACCGTCGGAGAGGGAACCATCTGAAAAGGAATTATCACCTCACTCACCGTCGGAGAGGGAACCATCTGAAAAGGAATTATCACCTCACTCACCGTCGGAGAGGGAACCATCTGAAAAGGAATTATCACCTCACTCACCGTCGGAGAGGGAACCATAGGAAAAGGAATTATCACCTCACTCACCGTCGGAGAGGGAACCATAGGAAAAGGAATTATCACCTCACTCACCATCGGAGAGGGAACCATCTGAAAAGGAATTATCACCTCACTCACCGTCGGAGAGGGAACCATCTGAAAAGGAATTATCACCTCACTCACCGTCGGAGAGGGAACCATTTGAAAAGGAATTATCACCTCACTCACCGTCGGAGAGGGAACCATCTGAAAAGGAATTATCACCTCACTCACCGTCGGAGAGGGAACCATTTGAAAAGGAATTATCACCTCACTCACCGTCGGAGAGGGAACCATCTGAAAAGGAATTATCACCTCACTCACCGTCGGAGAGGGAACCATCTGAAAAGGAATTATCACCTCACTCACTGTCGGAGAGGGAACCATAGGAAATTATAATCTGAAAGGAATTATCACCTCACTCACCGTCGGAGAGGGAACCATAGGAAATTATAATCTGAAAAGGAATTATCACCTCACTCACCGTCGGAGAGGGAACCATAGGAAAATATAACCTGGGATAACTTCCACTGAGTCTTTATCAGAAAAATCTGTTGGGAGTCGATTTAGCTGGACTAGAGAAGGCCTTGGACTGGATAAGAAATCTTTGGAGTCGATTAACTGAACCGGTCTAGGTCTTGAAATATGATTGAGAATTTAACTGCATCTTTCCTGAAAGGTAGAGGTCAGTCATATGTCATGCATGATATGGATCAAGCAATGATGTTCTCAACATAAATGAGATTTGTATGATATGATGCGTCTATGCATGCTATAATGATGTATGTGATGTTTTATGTATGCTTTCGTCTAGGAAAGTAAATCCTTGACGGGTGCCGAGAAGTCACTCTTGGGCTGAAATAGATTTCACTTCCGCTGGGGATGATAGCTGCAAGAATACCGATAGGAGAAGATAACTCCGTTGGGGAATAAACTTGGCAAATGGAAGATTCTGCGGGGAGAAAAATACTCTAGTGACCATGCTGGGGAGTGATACTCTGTGGGGAGAGGGATGCTTTTGCTGAATTGTTGATGGTAACTTGCTGGGGATACCCTTATTGCTGGAAGTGTTGATAGACTTCGCTGGGGATAAGAAGATTCTGTCGACGACGATCTTTCCGTGGCTTTTGGCTGAGGATAACCCAGTTATATCCTGTTAAGGAAATAACTCTTTAAATAAAGCCGGACGACGCGTTCGTGCTCTGCGAGGGATAAGCTTCCAGAATCTACTGGGGATAAGCTTACTGCTTGGGGGAGATGAATTCCAATCTTCCTGGGGAACTGGATTGGACTCTTCTGGGGAAGTTTTGATATGCACCGGAGAAATGACTCCATTGAATGTTTGATATACCACCGGGGAACAATCTTTAGACCAAGACTGCCGGGGATGCTTGTTAAGAATATCTGTATATGCTGGGGAATGTTGAGATCTGCGGGAGGGTACCCAACTTCTTTAAGGTTTGATAGTAGCTTCGCTTGAGGAGAGTGTATTGACTTGCTGACATACTCTCTGGGGAATTAAGATATGCCGGTTATGTTCTTTAGCTGAACCTATCTTGGTACCTTGGAGGACAGAACAATTAGATTGCTTTAGACAACTCATATTGCCCCTGTTTCTGAGGTGGGAGAGGAAGACCTGTGAGGTGCTGATAGTTGTTGATAGACCAAGCTTCTTCTGGTAGGCAGGTGACAAGATGACAGGACATAGTCGTACGCTTTAATCCCTAATTTTTGCCTGGACCGCCCTTTCGGGTTTTCAGTCCACCGGGATACCCATTTTTGCCCAAGCCGCCTTTTCAGGTTTTCGACTTGCCGGGTGTACAGATTTTTTCCATTTCATCCCTTCATTTGCCCGAACCCTTTTGGTTTGCCGGGAAGCCCTTATTTTTGCCTAGGTATGTCAACCTAGCGGGTCTTTGATTTTGCGTAGTATCTTTTCGACTATGTCCGTTCTCAGAAAGTAGGGAGTTGCCCCTGTTAGAAGTGTTTTGTCATGCCACCAGAAGGTATTTGATCAGGCGAGATTCGTTGTTGGAGTGCCCCAAGTGACTCAGGAGGAGATTTGCCCCAGGCTATTTATCCTTTGAGAGATTCTCCGAATCTTGATTGGGTTGCCCCAGATGATGGGCCATGATCATGCCGTGCCCCTTGATTGGAGGTACTTCTGTTCATTAGGCATTCGTCGTGTGAACTTCTATGCTGTTCAAACAAAAAGTCATATGCAAACAAAGTTATGTTAAAAATGAAAAGCCTATGTCTGTCTTGAAGATTTTTGAAAATGCATTCTTTTTTCATAAAACAAATGATTGTTTGTAAAACGTGATGTCAACTCACTATTTTATTGCGAGCCTTAAGGAGTCAGGATACCTTTCGTCACAGTACGCTTTCGAACTAACCCATGCTTCAGCTAGGACTTTTAAGGGTTATAACGTGGCCTGGTTCACGGTTTAAGAAACAAAGGATAAAGGCTCAAATTTTATTTGTACCCACCCGCTCTTCGTGATGTTCTTCCAACCTAAACTCAGTTGATCGTGCACTAGACCTTGTTTGAGTCTTTGCTCTGATTTTCCGGTGATGGTTCAGATATTGATGATTTATTTGGAATAGGCAGTCATTTTCTTTTTGTTGAGGGTTTATAAGACCTCTTTCTTTTTGATTTTGTTATCCCTGTTTTTTGCCTGAACTGTTTCCTTTTTTGGAATTATAGTCAGCGGGATGCCCCGGTTTTGTAAGTCTCCTTCATGGGTTTTGACTTAATGGGTTTTTTTTATCTTGAAAGATAATGACCGCCTTTCTTTATTGATCATTCGGAACCATCATTGTCTTTTCTTTTTTCGTAAGGATCTCTTCGGTTCCATTTGTTGCGCACTTGGATCAACTGAGAGAACTACCCTGCCCCAGGTTATGATAAAGGGTTTTAAATTTCGAAAAGAAAAACTCCTACTTCTTTGGCTCAGAGGGGTTGACGAGGGATTATCTTCCTTATAACTCCAGTGTTTAGGAATTGAAACAATGCCTGTACCTCATCAGCGGGGTCTGTTCAAAAGCATACTGTAAAGATCGCGGTATCGTTTTCGTCATCCTCCCTCAAGAGGCTTTAGAATTTTAGATAAGGAGTTGACATCAGAAAAAATATGAAAACAGTTTGCATATAGTGAATGCGAATATATTGCTTCAAAACAGACATATGCGATGCATTAATGGAATAACAATGTTTAACATGAGTAAATGTTTGAACAAAAGAGAATTGCAACTTGAACATTCGAATGAACAAAAATTTCTCAATCCTAGCCATGTTTTGGCAAGGGAGCAGTGATCACGTGGGGAGTCTTGGGTACTTTAAACTGAATCTCTCCAGCGTCGATCATGTCTTGAATCTTATTTTTCAAGCTCCAACAATCATCTGTAGTATGCCCCGGGCTGTCAGAGTGATAAGCGCAGCGGGCGTTGGGGTTATACTTCGGTGACGTTGTGTTTTGGTTCTTTGGAGCTTCTTTTAGAGTTACCAGCTTGGTCTCCAGCAACTGCGGCAATATCTGGGATAAGGTCATGCTGAGCCGAGTGAACTGCCTTCTATCGCTCTTTTGTTGGTTGTGATGTTGAGTCTGTGACACTGGAGCCATTTGAGGAGCTCTCCCCTTACCTCCTTGTCTCAAAGGTGGTTGAACGATGACTGGCTTTTTGCCCTTAGACTTTTGCCCCAGTTGGTTACCCTGAAGCAGTTGGTTGACGAGAAACCAGAGCTCATCTTGTCTTTGAGCTAACTTTTGAATGGCAGTCACCTGCCCCAGCATCTGGACCTTCAATGCATCCACCTCCGCTAGTAGGTGTTTCAGCCTTTCATCCTCAGCATTGTTCCTGACAAAGGTCTCCATGAGAAGTGCCCTTAGCTCTTCCTGCCCCTTGGATAGATTCAGGAGGGTTTTCCCGAACCTGGTCTCTTGAGCAAGAAAGTCCTGGTTGTCTTGTTGGGAAGCCATGGCTGAAATAAACAGCGGGAAAGGTAAGTGACCTGCAACAAGGATACCTGTTATGCAATGATATGTATGATATGCATGCAATGTTTTCAAGGATCTCGCGGGGTAAACAAGAAATTTGTTAGAATTTGAATCCGGTAGCTTGATTGAAGGAACTTCATGTTGTTGAGAGTCCTTCTTCAAGGGTCAAGGCTCACCATATCTAGTGGGTCATAGCCCCTGACATCCTTGGCTAGGGCAATCTTCTTCCAGTGTCAAAGCTCACCATATCCAGTGGGTCATAGCCCCTGACAACTCTGGCTAGAGGAAAATAAATCCTCTTTGCCCCTTGCTAGACGTTTGATTCGTCATGACCTGCATCACAAGCCCTTGAGATCCTTGAAATGGGTTAGGATGTATGCAATGGTATGATGTCATGATGCATGGGGTAGTATGGATAAACCCTGTTATGAGCCCTTATTAAGGACTATAAACAAAACCTGCAAGCAAACTCAATAAACCTGCCATGAGTCCTAATTAAGGACTATGGACAAAACCTGCAAAAAAAAACTTAGCAAACCCTGCTATGAGTCCCAATTAAGGACTATAAGCAAAACCTGCAAGAAATTTAGTACACCCTGTTATGAGTCCCAATTAAGGACTATACACAAAACCCGCAAGAAACTTAGTAAACCCTGTCATGAGTCCCAATTAAGGACTATAAACAAAACCTGTAAGTAGTTCATGTGTCAGATAACAAGCATGCAAGTAGTCAAGTACGAAGGCACACAAGTCACACAAGAGAAGCCCTTAGAGTTTAGGCCAGCATGGGGTCTGGGTATTACCCTCTTGAAGTTGGTGGGCTTAACCTGTCCTATTAGAAGTAACCGGGTTCTAAGGGTCCCAATATCACGAGATTGCTTTCATTGTTCATCGTTTCGATTTAGCCACTGAACTGGCGACCGAAATATTCCAGGAAAGCAACCCTTAATTGAGTGTAGTATCGAGTATCAACCAACCTCGGACTGCACCAAAGTCAGTTATCTCACTACCCTAAAGAGGCCAAGATAGTTCAATTAAGGTTCCTAAGGTCTGTTGATGCTTTACGACACCACGCGGAGGCCCCATACTCTCCTTGACTGAACTCAAGGGTTACCGGTACACACCAAAGTGCCACATCAACGTAGCAGACTATTTCAACCATGTCGGTATACCCCGCACAGTTCCCTCACAGCCTTGTTGCTACTTTCTAAGAAGGTATCCCCCAGATCCGGGTTAGGATCTATAGAACTCCCAAGCAACCCACAATTTAAAGCACACAAGGAAAACAATTGAAAACACAGTTATGAACTAGCCCTAAGGTACACCTCACTTTAAGTTTGGTCCCCAGCAGAGTCGCCAGTTCTGTGATCGGTGGATCTGGAACTGACT